CAAATTCAGCAGGCGACATTTGAAACCTAACTTAATCGGAATATGGCATCCTGGGCGCATTTCCTAACGCCAAAATTGCTTAAAGTGGTTGTCCTGGGTGAATGCTGAGTACATTATTTTTCTTCAACTTTCTAGAAATTGTTGGACTTTATTGTGTATATAACGATGTCTATTGAAAGCGACGCTTCCCAGGGAGCGAAGGAGTGGGGTTTCACGTCCGTTTCAAATCCGGAATACCAGGCACAAATTTACATGTGGGAGGGAATCGCCCGCACTAATAACTATACCGTGGGCTATAGAAGCTCGCACAATTTACACACAAATGCTTCAAGAACCACCATTTTGAGCGCAGTGTATTGTCTAGTCAGATGAGATGCTGAGTTCTAATTCTGTGTTAGCTGATCTTTGAAGGTCGCTCACTTCTGCCAAGCACAAATACATAGAAAGCGTGGGGAAATACATTCTGCATAGGCAGTTTATCCCCGTTGTGATGACTTCGAAAATTTTACGTTTCTAAAAACGATTTCTATTTTCCAGATAACGTTCTGCCACCTAGTTCTGTCGGAATTACTAGGGGAATATTCGCACCAGCTTTAGCGGCTTCCTGTTCATCATCTCGGTTAGAATAACATTTAACCATGAAGCGCTGAACCGGTTGATTTATTAAAAATTTGCAAATATCGGTCTGTGGACGCCGCACACAGGATGTATACCTTAGATACGCCCATGGCGGCAAGGCTGGGAATGAGAAGTGGTTCGAAATAGCATAAACCATTCACAGAAGCTTCTCCCCGTTGATGTGAACTCTGAACTCATCTATTGAATCAAACCAGTCGGCTGAATCATCCTCCAGTGCCGCGCGAATCTATATACAAGCGCTTATTTCAACATGACGGAAAAACCGATGAAGTTCAATAATGAGGGATTTGCCAAAACCACGGATTCCGCATTCGTGGAAATTCCAGAAATTCCGCAAAAACCATGGCTGTTTTTTGAGAACGTTTGTCTCGTGACATTAAAACACTAGATTCCTGTGGAGAAATTTTCTTTGGATTGATGGCTCGCGGAAAAATTAAAATGAAATTCCTGTTGCTCTAGCCTCACCTAGACGTTCTTGTTCAGTCTATTATTCTATGATACAAGAGCTGTGTGGATCGTGCGCTGACGCCCTCCTTGATGAAATTTTCATCCGTTAAAATTTAGAACACAGAGCTTCGGACTGGGTGCTTCCATTTTAACCACACAGGACTTGAGTCAGTAATTAATGCGCTTTATGATTACTGTTAATTAAAACCAATTTGTTTGTAGGGGATTACACAACCGGTCTTCACCAGCCTAAAGCTGAATATGTCTATCCAACCACTTAGTTGTGTGGTCTCAGTAAGCACCTCCATGAATAGGTAAAATGGTCATAGGCACTTTGAATGTGCACACTGGCTAACTGTGTGCCGGTGGGTTGAAGGAATCTTGCTTCGCTTAAGGTAGGGACGCAACATGGTTTTGAGCGAAGTAGGAGAGTATCGATTGCTTTGCGGCAAGGAAGAGATTTTGCACAGTGAGAATAGAATAGACGAGAGATCAGGAGATATGCGACTGTATCAGCGAGAACAAAATGTCTGTATAATATTGAAGCGCTGCCTGCTCGTCTTCGGTTAACGCTTGCAGTAATTCCAGGTAGCTAACTTTGTTGTTCTATTGTTGCAGACCTGACATGCGAGCAAATTATCGGTGACGCTTTCCAAAAATATCATATTCCTGAGAGCATGTGGATAGTTGAATGCTTGTGCCAAGGCACTCTGCTGATGCTCCTACACCGAAAGGAGTGAGTGCAACAGGCGTCAAGAAGAAACCCCGTCAATAAAACCAGCTGTCCACAGGATATTCTGCATTTCTGATTAATATTGAACCAGAGTTCGGACCGTTTATAGAGACGGTAATAGCCGAATGGTATCTTCGAATGGCGCACGATATCAGAACCTTCAGGAAAACAAAACAAATTTGGAGTTGGATTTCCATACGGCACTATTATTGCTAGACAAATTAAATAACTATGCAAACTTCGACAGTAGATAGTCATCCAAATCAAATGATCCACTTAGACCTATCCGCGTAAAACAGTCACATGTGCATAATGTTGACCACGGAGTGGCTGAATGGCTTAAAGATCGAATGAATATAAGGGAAAAGACGAACAAAAGCCACGTCATACGCATACACTAAACACAAAAGTGGGGCAGGGGTACAAGTGGAGATATAAGTAAAGTGTGGAATTCCAAACGTAAAAGTCATGTACTATAGAGAGATCCGGGCCTCGTGGTTCCAGGGTTGGTAGGCAAAAAGATCTCTTCTTTTCGGCTCCCCACAGTGGTAGGCCTCTGGGCTTTACAACGATTTTTTCTCACTTAATCTGCAAATCGGTTGGCATTTAACGCGCCAATCAGTATGCGCCATCTTGGTGGTTGTTTACTAGCTGGGCTCAAGTAGTTTGCTTTGGACGCTTTGTTGCTAAATGCGGCGGCATTATCAGCACGTAGGTAAGAGTGAAGTGCGTAGAGAAGTCAATAGTTGAGGCCTGTGCCAAACTGGCGCCTCTTCTCTGCTATAAAATGACGAAGCGATGATGTGACTTCAAGCGATGACTAAAAATCTGCGGAGAAAAACAACATGATTGTCAGCCGAGAAAGATTACTACCAACATCCTTTTAAATGTGCAACAATTTGGCCCCGTTTTGTGTCGTAATTTTAGATTGAACCCTCGCGGCTGAGGCTTGCTTGTCCCCGTTTCTACCGAATAATTAGCTTCCGGAAGTTTGAATTATTTCAGCCAGCGCACATTCACTTGAATTTCATGAAATCCTGTTACCTATGAGTTTCCCAGCACCAGTTTCGTTCACATAATATTAATAATGGTTTCTGTTTCCAACTTTTGTTGGCATACCGTTAGACGTATCATAATGTTACATTCAGAATAAAAGCATGACCGGCGGGGATACGGGGTACAAAAGGGATTGGGAAAATGGACGGCATCAAAGGCGATGGGCATTTTCCAATGAAATCGTGGTCACCACTGAACCGGCACAGACAGGGAAGCACATTCACTGCGCTTTTACTGGAGAGAATATCGGGCAAGTTTAGATCATCAGGATTTGAAGGTGGAGAGCGAAAACAAAGCGAGGGAGGGCAAAACAAAGGGCTTCCCGTCTGGTGTAGGCAAATAAAATGTAAACGGTGAAAAATGAGGTAACAGGAGATCAGATCTGTTGGGGCAGCACAGTTGGCGTCTTTAAGACCGTCAAATTGAACCAAAACCTAAAACCACCGCTGGGGCTTCATGACCTTTGATTGTTGGGCTCATAGCCAGGGTTACAAAAAGCGTAAAAGGAGATGCAGAAGTGGGGGGATTAGCAAAGGGGATAAGAATTTCACAAACATGGTGTCGGTAAAACTGTAGAGACGCACTGGTGTGGCTGCTATGGAGTAGGGCATAATAGTTCCTTGAAAGAATGAGATGATGACAGCACATCAGCCGGATCAAGAACTGCATAGAAAGTTATTGGATTTTGCGGGAAGAACAGGCATACAGAAATGGTGAAATTCAAACGAAAGGTTCAGCAAATTGGAATGAATTGGCGGTGAAGAAACTTGGGGTCAGGTGGGGAGCTTGTTCGTATTTGCAGCTAATGAAACGATTGGGCGAGAGGGTGCGGCCGAGAATAGGAAAGGGATAGTTTCGGGTGTGCTATCAGACTTGGTTTGACATTGCCGTGCTGTCACTGGTCTGACGTACTTCAGGTTTTTGAACAGCCCTGTTAACGGACGTTCACATTTAACGTCATTGGGCTGGGATGTGCGGTTCTATGAGCAGCATGATTCTTTTCAGACCGGCCAAGGCAACAAGGGTAGAACCACGTCGTTATAAGGTCTCAAGATTTTTGGTCCATTTCTGGATCTTGTGGATGCAGATCATAGACCAGATAGAGTGGATGACAGCCAACCAGGTCTTCCACGACGGGTATTGCTGAAGTTCAAAGCTTGGGAAGATGAAGGGACTGGATGGGATTAGTGAGACATAGTGGGTTTGAGCAAATATCAAACACAAAAATGTGCATTTATGTACACAGAAAAAAACTTGAAGTGTACCGTGATTAGGGTGATGATAACAGGTGGTTATATGAGACAGGGTAGGAACGGGTTGGTTTTTGGTAGGCTAGCGACCAACGGTTGGGTTTACTAATATATGATATCAAAGTAGGGACCTGGTGCAAGCCGATATTAGCAAGCAGTGTAGTGGTGTGGTTGGGGAAATCAAATGTATAAGGACGGATATGACTGAACTTCCGAGATAATGGACTGGGTTGGAAAAATCTCTGTACATATATTTTTCATTGTAGATAGGTGCGTGTGTTTTGCTTGGTTGACCGAGTGAGGTTTAGGTCGGTACAACTCCAAATCTGACAAGGGCATCTAAACATCTGCACGTCGGTCTATGACATGTGCATCAGAGTGTCCCGAGACCATTTCCATTTGTATTTTGTGAATTCCTTTTTTAACAGACGGGTGGCCGGCTTTTTCCCTTTATCCATTTTTCTCATTGTCTGTAGCTTATAGCTTTGCCACTTGAATGACACAACCGGGACGAGTCCGTCTCAGTAGCAACAAGCAGAAAACAATAGCGCCTTTTTATTGATTTCCTGAATTAAAGACCATGCTCAGAATCACCGGCGATAGGCGAAGCACCGATGCTACCAGAGGAGTTGAGGGCACACGGGCGCACCATGGTGCAGCGCAACAGGACGACACTCCCTGCAGGAAGTACCGGCCACTACATGGGCATTTAACCCCTCGTGAATGCTACCAAATCTGCAAAGCGGCCTACCACCATGCAGTCATAACTGTGGCATGCACATTAATAAAGAACTCAAGGTACCAGACATTTTATCCGTTCATGGGAGAACTAAGCCAGTAAAACAACTCAGTTAGTTCGGACAAGCTAACGACAAATGGCCGCTGGAAAGGGCAGGTCGCGGAGGCAAATAAGGTGGCAGATACCATTGAGACAATCGGGACAAAACGAGAATGAACAGAGCGTATGAACCATGAACAAGTTATGATTAAGCGCGAGCTATCAAGCCAACCAGTGGCATTCCGCACTGTAGTGTGCATGTGCTGAATGGATTGCGAGGTGCATAATCAGATGGCGTAAGACGTACAGCAGATGATGTGAGGGAGTTAAATTTAGCAATAGTGCCTGAAGGTCTGCT